TTGCTACCCTTGGATATTTCTGCTTCTTATATATGACGAATACGGAGGTGGTTTTCACTTGATTGACTTTGATTTTGAAAAGCATTACTGTACGATGTGTACTTACAGATTTGCGTCGCAGCAGGGCATGACTGGATTTGGTACTCCACGTAATACCACTTATGAAGCGGAAGCCGGCGAGCTGCCATATGAAGACATGAAGAAGTCCGAAACCGTTATCCCATCGCAGGCTGGCTGGAATCGAGGCGATTCCCAAAAGGTGATATCTTGGATCATTCATTTAAAAATTTTTGCTCAAAAATTTTGAAAAATTAATACTAGCAAGACTGCCGGAAATACCAGTGTGAAATCTTCGATTCCACTGGAATGTAGCTACATGTCATGATCAAACTGAGCAATAGTTATCATCCGCAATTTACGCCGTCAATATATTTTTCTGTAGAATGCTCGAATAATTAGCTTTTATATCGCGAGCAGCAATCAGTGTTTAGCACTTCTTACAATTATAATAATTTCACAAGTTTTCCAATTTTCGTTTCTTACTTTCTTTTTTTTTCGCTTTATTTCATTCCTTCTTATTATAATTGTCTATTGCAATCTCCTCGTTCAAGTTTACACTGCTGTTTCTGTATTCATGTTTATTTCACTTTGTTTTTATTCAATTACATCTACTCAGCGTAAAGTGAACTACCACTCATGCATTTACGTAGTAATGAGTCCATTGCTTGCAGTAGTGGAGGCCTATAATCTAAGTAAATTTATTCAGGGCATGACCGGATTCGGTGCGCCACGTGACGTGAAAGGCAAGCATCTGAAGCGTATCTGGGAGTTGGAATATCCCGAAGAAGCGGAAGCATCACTTGATCGGCTTTAAATGCCAGCTACGCCAGCCGAAAAAGCTTACAAGCTGAATTTCAACTTCCCGGCGATCAAGTTGACCCTAAAAAAGCATTTATTGCCCGCTGCTGCTCAAACTTTGTCTTGAAACGAGCCAACCCAAAATACTGGATTTCTTGTACTTAATGGTCCAGAAAATTGATGAAAATGTAAAATATAATTTTTTTGAATTATTTTCTCGACTTAATAGATATATTTAACAGCTTATAAACTAAAACTAGTCTCTTTCCAAAGGTTTTTTGAAAAGCAATGGTTTTTTCTGAAGATTTTTTTGAAAATGTCAAGTTTTCAAAATTCAAATTTTTGAATGTAGTCTTTCACTGGCACCATAACAAATATTGCTTTCTCGGGAGCCTGTGCTTTTCATTCGGATTTCTGTGAATGGGTCGAGTCTGCAATTTTTTATGCGCAACCTTTTCAGTA